ATCATCGTGTAGAACGTGTTTGAATCTCACCACCACCGCCTGACTTTGCCCTTTTATGTGTTATGGCAACCCTTTGTTTGGCGGCTTACTCCTTTCTGAAAATTGTATCAGTAAGTATTCAATAAAAGATAGTAAATATCTAGCAAAATATATAACAAACAGTCCTGTTATGATCACCCCTGGTCTTTTACCAACCAACACTTGCCTCGGCCAACATTGTGCGCTGTGACAACTTATTTTGTGACATGCGTAACACATGCCCTAACGAACATAATCTATGGGGTTTGATCACTTGTTCCAGTGGTGACCGCAGTTACCTCAAACTCTGCACTTTTCTTCACAATGTCTCGTTCAGTTGCCCCAACAGATTCGTGCGATGCTGTGTAGACAGGTGTTCAAACACCAAAAGTCGGATTATACGACCTTCGGAAGGGATCAAAGATCCATTTTGCACAATACGCTTCAAGTTCCCAGCTAGCCGATCACCATTATTACAACTATTGTGTATGTTTCGTATGCATCCCCTTGGTTGGTTTGGAATCGGGATTTCTGGTCACATTTCCTAGGTTATTTTCTAGTGGTTCACTGACCGGGTGGCAGCTCCAAATATTGTCCCTTTGTTCTTTCAATTTGATAGGAAAACCTCCACCACTTAAAGGCAGTAAATAGGAGCTTCTTCAGAGGAGGTTGTTTGAGGTACTCAGTTCTATAAAAGCATTTGATCAAGTACAAGGAAAGGATTACCAATCCAAACCCAAGACACCCACCGGCAAACACACCGAGGCTTTCTGACATATCGGTGATCGAATTATTCAGTTCTACACAAACCACTGATTGTAGATAACTAGCACCAATTTTCTACCCAACACTCGACGGATGTTATAGCTCATCGGTAAAATTGACCCAAACGGACCACACAGCTGTAAGCTACTGTGGACGCAGTGTGCAGTACAAAGTTGCTAGTACTATTGAACCATTTGAGTTGAATCTGACCACACGTTAGTTTTGATTAAATTACCCGTCAACTCATTTGTCACTGGGAAAAATCACAGCTTAGGTTAACACATCACAGTCTGCCGGATACAGCTGCCTGCATCCGTTTTTATAAATTATCTTAATCGTGTTACAGAAGTACTACAATGCGATGAATTAGATCATCAGTTGGATTACAATGGATTTGCAATGCATTCGACAGTAAAATGTAGTTGTGAATCTAACATGGAGGTTCAGTCTGGTTTTTACATCCATTAACCATGTACTTTGATGCACCGGTTTTGGTTTCTGCCTTAAAATTGACTATTTGGATGCCGTCAATGGAAGAATAAAATGTTTAAATCATTATATGGGTAAAATAGGGTATTTCAGTGTACTAGGTTCGCAAAGATCAGGAAGTTGCACAAGCTACACTGTCTACAACACCACCGTGATAATCAGTGTACAGCGAAGTACGGTAAAGGGAACTTGGATGATTGCTGCCAAGCTCTCATTATATACAAATTAAGCGATAAAGTAAAAGACGGAAAGGGATCGGGCCTACTTTGGAGGTGTAAGAAGGAAACCTCCATGGCCAACATAGAGTGAAAAAATTAACTGTGCTTACATACATTTCAAAGCAGTTTGGCCTGATAAAAATGTCAACAAGAACGCCACTGATGTCGGTTAGTTGCCAAACCCTTCATTATCTCCAATCAAACAGTTTCAGGGTCTTTTGGACCCCCATCTGGAAGAAAGGAAACCTATTCTACCTAATCGCTCTGTGCATTTTCCCAGGCCTCGCTTTCGCATCATCTGTTCACCTCCACGTGGTTTCTTCCCACCTGGAGCCATCATTTTCAAGAAGAGTCGGTGCGATAGACTTGCTGAGCAAAACTTGAAGAAGCGGTGGTCAGATCGTACATGATATGACGTAGATGTAAAAAGAGTTAGCTTCAGCATTGCCTTTAGTTGATGCAACCCACATTTCAGGTTGGGGCACATGGGATGAGTTTTTGCGTTTGTTTGCCCTAAGAGGTCTGGATCAGGATAGAAATCAGTGTCACCAATGCTTTACTGCCTGATTTTTAAATCCCGTGCTGCACAAAATAGAAACGTAATGCAAGTAATATCCAGAACTGTAAAGTTAAACAAACAAAATGTTATTCCTGATATCCACTGTAATTGTTTAAGCTCCATTTCCCTCTGCATTATATCCAAACTCCTCCGTTCTATTTTGTTATTGTTGTTGCGTTGACACAATGTTTGTTCGTATGTCGGTGATATATATTTATATGTATATATTTGTATATATATACTCTAGTTTTTGCCATTCACGCTGTGGTCTCTTCTCCATATGTCATTTAGACCATTTAAAGTTACGGTCGAGCTCTGAAGGTAATAGAATGTCTTGGGTATTTCGTAATCACCACTGGCGGTTGATTCAAATACAGTCTCCTTTCAGTCTTCCACGATCACCTTCAATTTGAATGATGCAAAATACGTACCACGTTTAAATACCACGATTCCCAAATGATAAGAGGCACATTACAATACACTACTTGTTTATTTTGCTCAAAAAGCGATACCATTGGTATATTCTTAGTCAAGACATGTTTTATCTAGCAGAAGTTCGACTCTATCGTTGTTCATTACACACACGTGTGATGAATGGCAAATGGTTTGGATCCCGTGGTCGCAAAAAAGCGGTTGTTCTGTGACCCAAATTGACAAAACAAGCCCCTCAATTTAAAGTGATGAACCACATAATTCCCCGCTCTGTTAGGTGTGGTATTAAATAAGAATATAAGACGATCTTCACTGCAGTCGGTAAATGGTGGCAAAAGCCAATCGCGGCCCCTAATATGACATGAAGTATGTCACCGAAACACTTTAGAACTCGACACAAACTTATGTGGCATTTCTCATCCAAAGTTCAACATTTCGGTCCTACTGATGGAATCGAAGATTGAGCCATTGTTTGAGGGCTCACTTATTGATGCTTTTCGCAAAGCTGGAATGTGCTCTTATTTCTTTCGGTGTGGAACTCTAACCTGATGATCGCGGGGGTTCTCGCATACATAACTCACATGTGTGATAAGTTGATGCTACGATGAATGGTTGAGCCATAAACTGTAAGCAAGTTTCATTATATCTGTCACAGTTGAAGAGAAGTAAGGAGATTTAATTGAACCATAGCGATTGATGCAAACTCTGATCACTGAATTAATAGAGTAAACATAAAATAATTTTCTTATTTGGAATGCAAAATCTTTCACCCAACCAGCAAAGATCCGAGTATGCAAACATCAATGGAGATCAAGTTTGATCGTACCAACCGAATACTTCACACGAATGACTCAGGCAATCGAACTCTTATTTCCCACATGTTCAATCAGAGAATAGGAACAGTTTGGGATAAAGATGGATTCTAAACAGGTTTCAGGTTATGACTAAGTTCCTGTGTTCTAGGGCAAGATACACGTATGCTGCGAGAAAACGTACTATATGACCGAAACCACTTGCTCTGAATTCTTGCTTACTTTGCTTCCATGAATGAACAAAACCATTAATTGTAAACACAACCCAGTAATAAATGTTGTTATGTATTGGAAAACTAATTATCATTTTTGATTAGAACTGAGACAAAGAATGAGAGGTACGGACCGTAATTTGTGCTCTACAAGCGTATCTAGTTATTGAAGATGTTATATTTCCATCCTTGATAAATATATTTGGGTCAAAATGTAAGTGAGTCGCTTTTTGTCCCCGATACTGAGCAACTAATCGCATGGCGGACGTTAGTATCAAAAATGTAATTGTTAGTTATATATGGGTTGATGAGCGAAATAAATAGAAGGATAAATTAGCTCACGCGGTGTGATTAAGTTTGGCTTTTGGCCCGCACAACACGGCTGAGACTGGACGGTGTTCTTCTCTGATGAAATATCACTGTTTCCTTTCACCTTATCAAACAACAATTGTAACACAATTTTCTAGATGAGGTACCACATCAGATGAAATTTTCGGAGGTGAGGAATTGATCGAATTCCAAATTTAAATAAAAGACACCAAATAAATATATTGTTTACCTTGATTGTGAGAGTTGAGCTCAGCTCTGAAGCCACAAACATGTCTTTGAGGAAAATATTTTCAAGTTTGCCACATAGAAATCAACTTGAATCTATTTCGTCTATTGGCGATCGGTTTACGGAACGTAATTTTTTAATTAGAAAGTTTTCGGCATCTCACCTACCGTCTAGTAATTCAAAAGTCGTATACTCCAATCTCAACGGACAACATCATTGTTATATAACACGAGCGTCTAAGTCCAGACTGTCTATAACATAAAGTTCGATACAATAATCTTAAAACCGAAATAAAAGTCATAATCAGGGATGCGAATAAGCCAGAGATCACCTCAAACATAACCAGTCTATTAATTTCCAGTTTTTCCTATATAACTTTGAGATCTTCTTTCACACACAAAGCGATTTACAGTAAAAGTAGTAGACCCCATAGGCAACAACATACTGTAAGAGGGTAGATATGTAGGGGAAAATTCAAGTCCAAATCAATTTATTAATCCGTGTTCTGAGAAGAGTAAGGTTATAAGCGCTGGGTAACACGCGATGGGAAGAGTGTTCCACAAATTCGCATTACAATGGAAACAAGACGACTGGAAGATAGAGATTCGACATCTCGGGACAAGAACCTGTTCGCTTGAGAGCGAAATAAGCGAGAAAAGGTTTGGAAGACGGGAAACCGATGAAGCGAGCTCAGAATGGGAGAAATAAGTGATAGAAAAACGCTGAGGAAGTTACCGCCCTGCGATGCGAAGGCGACTTCAGGTTGGAAGTTAAAGACGATTCATCCGGATGGCCTTAAATTCAATACGGTCAAGGAGAGAAAGAAAGAAATAGAAAGCTTTACCTCATACGTGACTGAACTTTTCGATCACCGGGCGGATTTGAACTTTGTATAAAAAGAGAAGATGGTTAGGAGTAAAGAAGCGCTTTGTACGGAATATGAAACCGACTTTGCGCAGCCCAATGATCAAGTGTAAGTGGAGATGATCAGGAATGTGATGTGAGTGCCAGCAGGTCACCTGTAGATCGACCTGGGCAAAATCCATATTGAAGTTCGTTCAACAAATCGCGTTCGAGAAAAGTATACCGCTGGTCATGGATAATGGTTTGAAACACTTTCAAAATTACAAAAGTGAGAGTGATGAGACGATAATTGTTAGGGTTAGAACGGTCACCAAACGTTGGGATAAGAAATATTATGGCATTTTTCCATAGAGCGGGAAAGGAATTGGGATCGACCGCTTTAGCAAGGATCTAGATCTGTTCGGTTACCATAGGCGGACTAAGCCAGGCGGACAGTTTTGTGGCTAATGAGATGTCCTGTATGGTGAGCGAGGATTTGTTTCTGGCTTCTGTGAAGCGGTTGTTAGATGTTGGGTTATATGAGTGGCACCCGCGACGGGATGTTGAGCTTTTAAACACTACGGTGGCAAGCATGATTAAACAACTCATGGGATCGTGGTTAGCCGGGTTTGGAAAAGTGTGGAACATAAAGATACCCATCTTGAAGAACAATCTCTGACTGTCTGCCAAACAAATCACTCTTTAATAATCTTTATAAAAAGAAAGAAAGACCCATGGGTTGCCCGATGATACGATACTGTTAAGTGGCTCAGAACTTAGGGAATTCACAACAGGTGTCCCCGGCTAGCCAAAGGCAGCAGGACGGTGTGCGGAAGCCGCAATCCATTGGGGTCGGTATCGACTCCATCGGATCATACGCTTTTTGGACGGGGTCAAACAGCCAAGGTGCCCAACCCACCTCGATGCCCGATCGAGTCGGTGACCACTACCACGACCCGGAAGTTATGTACGTGGTTCGTACACCTCTTCTTGTTTGGTTTCCGATCAGGTGTTTTTGCCAACTCTCCCAGTGGTTCACCAACCCGGTTTTAGCCCCGTATGTTGGCTTTTGTCCTCTCAATCTGGTGGTGGTGAGTAGGGTTTGCGCAGCAGAGGCTATTTGAGACACTTGATCGCATGGTAGCATTCCGCTAAATGTGAGAAAGGGGTGGCCAGACGCAACCTGAGGAACCCGCTCTTGAAAATAGTGAGGCTTTTGGAAGCTTCCGTAGACCGATGAGGTTGTGTCGCACACTAGAGAAATCTCGTGTGACGTTCAATAGTCTTATGCATTTATCACTGTTATTTCGCATCGAATAATATCATTTACTGATTAAAGTATATCATTCTGTCTACACAAAGCGTAGTTCTTATGTTGTTCTCGAAATAAGAAGCACAAAACATACGGTGTGAATTAACTTTATTTTCAAACTTTTCAGCGGTGAACTCAAATTGAGGCGTGTTGGTGATACAAACAAAAGTTGCACCGGAATTATCTATTATAAATGAATAGAAAAATGCACTGGTTCTCGATTTACGAAATTAAGGTAGATATCTGTGGTTTCTATTGAACTTTGTTATCTCATGTAAGCAAATAAATGCCAATCAAGGCCAGAACAATGAACGAAATGCATGATTTTGGTTTCACCCTCATGAACTCGTTGATTGATTTTCTTTTGCATCGATAATTGATATCAGGATCATTTCTTTATATTGCAAAGCTATTCTTGAAGTCACTGCAAATTGTCTGTAGGATGTGAATGCCTTGCTTTGAAAAAATCTAGATTTTGAAATAACTACTCATTCTAGAACTCGGGATCATGAGTGTTTCAATACAACCAAATAAAGTGCAGTATAAAGACGGCTCACTTTAAGGCGTAAAATTTAGTTGTTTTGTTTAAACACTCTGGAATCCATTTATCTGAAACGCAAACGTTGTTGGTCTGGACTGATTAACGTAAATCAGACTCCTTTATAATGTTTGTAACACTAAACAATGTGAAGATGCTGCACACATGCCATTTTATACATAAACGGACTCCAGATTACTCTGACCGGTGAGAAGGAACTTGGGGAAATTCAGGGACAAGTTTATAAATATTCATGGGGATGACGAAACACGTCACAGATTTAGTTGATACCTGAAGCTTCAATGAAATCGTTAAGTTCCATTCATCCCTTCCATTTGAGGCAAAACAATGGTTACCAATGTTATTAAATAAAACGAGCATAAGGGAATGGACGAATGTTTTATCCATTTCGGAATATTAAAGAGGTTTTGAGTTTCACGAATCTGTGACCTCACTGAAAATGGCACGTTGGTTCTTCTGTTACATCACAGTTTGTTGGATACAGACGGAACTCAATCAACTATGAACTCTTCTCAAATGCTAATTTCATTGAACTGCATGCTTGCAATGGACAAGTAGTTGGAATAATGATACAATAATCCGTTTACATTTCGTCATATAATGAACACTGGAATTCCTGTCTAACATTACAAACAGCAGTTTTTGTGCCCCTCTCCTCTTTATCTTGAGTATGAGGCTTTGGCCAAGCAAAATGTCATATTTTGCTTCTCCAATGACCATATCTTACTTTGTTCTGGGCGACCAGGATATAGTTAAAACATAAAAAAGCATTTTTATATCCTTCGTTCGTTCGAATATATCTGCACTACAATCCGCTTGTTACAATCCACAGGAGTCACGCACATACGCGGACATACATATATATGTACGTTTTGGTCTCCGTGCGATTGAACGCTTATCCTGTTTCAATTTACATTGCAGCAAACGTCCAAATATGATGAACAGAAAATACAGGATGTCTGTGGCATGTACTTTGGTGTGCATTGCTCCCTGACCCGTTTTCGCCTATTATTTTCGAGTAAGCATTGAAAATAGCATTTGTTTACTCTATTGTTCATTTGAGTAAGAATTAGAAGAATCTCTTAGTCCCGGTGATCGTAATACGAAGAACGTAAAGAGTAAGTCTGACATTGCCATTTATGGAATTGTTTCTCATTTAGAAGCCCTGAAAGTGTTGAGTGATTTGCTACAAGTATCCGAAGGCGAAGTGATTCGCCAGGTATGGTCAGATGTGTTTGATTTTTTCTGTTTTGCGTGTTTACCTGTTCTATTTCACAATATAATGGCTTGTTTCTATTCAATCAGAATATTGTTTAGTTCATTCACTTTTGAAGGATAAATACATAGTCAAATTTAAGCTGTGTATACTAAGCAATCACAACTGTTCCTCTGTTCAGTTACATTCATTTAGTTTTTCCCTCGAAGCTGTGAGCTTAACGATTGGTAAACCAATTGTGAAAACCAGACGTGGATACGTTATGCTCCTGAATTTCTGTTTGAGTGAGGCATGAGTTATTTTTTAGTGTTGCTCCGGTTAATATGTTACAGGTATTATCGCTTTCTTTTCCTATTTTCTTTTCCATTTTTGCTTCTTTTTATTGAATATACAAAGGTGACATTTTTAGGATGGGGGGGGGGAGGGTAGAGCGGTGAATCAAAGGAATACCATACAACGCATAATGGGGAAAGTCAGGCGGTGGCGGTAAGATAGGGATATCCGTCCTACGAAGAGGTAATTTTTTGACGTGACCACCACTCCTGAATTATTTGCAATTAAATTGTCCAAATCGACGTTCTTCAACCGAACACTGAGTGTTATTCAGTTTGCTTCCCGACAGGACTGTATTTGGATGACACTAATACGCTAAGTAGCACTCATTCTACGAAGCAACTACACTTCGGATGTGCAAAGCTTACTTTTCTACTACCTGACTTGAGATACCTGTTATTGTGGAACTGCTGTATGCAATTGAACTACTCGTTTGTTCAAGTTACGGGAGCTTTAACCTTTAGGAATTTCGGAATGGTTGCGCAATTTGAACGTGCTTACAGTTCACCGATGCGCATGGATGTTCGCCGCTAATTGAATTGGTGTCTGTCCGGTGCTCCGTTCAGTTTGTGGATTTTACGTATCACTCGGCATTCTCCACTCTCTCAAATGAACTATGTATACCAGGATTTCAAGAAGCGGATACAAGTTTAAGCCCTAAACTACTCCCAAATTTAAACAAAAAATCGTCTTTAGTTGGTGAAAGAGAGTATGACTTTATCATAAGAATCTTCAGAATCTGTCCTCTTCAAGTAAGTATGAATGGAATCTGGCTAAACTTCAAAGGAGCTGGGGTACGTAAGAGCGAATTTTCAGAAAGTTTCACACTGCAACTATCTGGTTAACAAAGTACAACCCACAAGACCCCGTGAAAATTACAGTTTGTTGTGCCCTTGTTATGCCCTTGAGAAGCACTGACATTTCAAGACCACCCAGTACACCTTACCATCTGACTGAACGGGTAATCTTTATGACCAGCGTTTCCCATAGTCCATTAGTACTGCTCAGTTTTTTCGAGCTAACCACGGAAATCGTAGTATTTGCTGGACACTTCAGTACCCAAGTACGATCCATGGACGAATCAGATCCTCATATTTGCGGCCCACACTCAAAGCAACCAACCGCAAGGACAACGGAGATCGCAGATCACTGATTGATCCTTTCGAGCATCAAATTTTCCCACAAGAACGTACGATGCCTTAGGTGAAAACCCCTGATCTCTTCACAGCGGTAGAAAGAAAAATGAATCACCGCCATTGGCTACTACTGGCAGTGATCGATTCAAGACCACCGCTCTCTGATAAAAACCGTGGATGCTCTCTTACAAGCCAGATTATCTCGCCGCGTCTGGTAAACCATCGCAAAATTGCAGCGGAAAACAGATACCTACAATATAATATAGGCTATACTGAAAATCGGTCTTCAATACAAAACTCTCTAGCTGCTTATAAATTCAACGATCCATTGAAGGGCTCTATGAGCACAATGCAAACGANACGAAAGAAGCTCTCCAAATATCGACAGTGGATTCTAGCACATGATTAAGGCTCAAATGATGGGTCAACTCATACTCAGATGCCTTGTTGGATGCTGACGGAACCATTCCTCCGAGTGTCAAATCAGACATTGTGCAAATCCCTAAAGCGCGAGCTCATCAAGAGCCTAAGGAATGACCGTAAGAAGTGTTTGGTAGCAAAATGTACAGAGTGGGAGAAAGCTATGCCTTCTGATACTAGCCGCAATCTTTTCCATCTAATTAGGAATAAGTTTGAAAGAACTAAGGAGTCTGTCGTTACTTCAGCACCACCGTCTTGAACGATAGAATGAACATTTCCAGGCTCAGTTCCACTGTTCCCCGCCGACATTAGACCACGAATGTGCTGATATTCCCACCTGATATCAGTCCTCCATGTGAAAAGGGGATTTTCCGGTAAACGACATATAAGGCCTCTAATCCGGATGAACTTTTCCTATCGAATTTTCAAGCTGCGGATGCAGTCATGATCCTGAAGTTTACGATGCGGGAGAGTGAACAGGTTCCAACTAAATGGTATGAATAGGTCATCTTACCGGCAGAGTGCGTGGTTATTGATTGTAAAAACTGAACTGAACTGACAGCTCCTCTTGTCTAAAGCAAAGAGAAATTAATTTGATCAACATTGTCTATCATAGCCCTGGCTGGTGGTCTAACCGTGAGAGGTTTACTCCAATACTCTCATCACTTTATACTTAGAGCTGGATTGGAGCTTATGGTGCTTTTTTTTACCTCAGTTCATCATTGAAAGCTGTGTTCGTCAAGGTTGCTCGTCTTTCCTTTTCTATTTAAGTTAATTAAATGTATGGTTCTTCATACTAGCCTATCCTCGTGCGAGGAAAGCCGCAACGAATTCTCCCAGGTGGCAGATTGTTTGATCTGGAATATGCAAGCGACATCTTACGGCTAAGTTTTTGAACTAGTTTAGCTAGCTTTGATATGCGTTTTGCAACTTCAAAGTGTAAAATTCTGTTACAGGACTGGGTTGGTTCAGTTCGTACCCTAAAGCTAATTGCGGAAGTAGCCGTGGATGCAGACAAATTTTGTTGGTTAGACAACTTTATCCCACCTGGCAGGCGCGTGACAGATGAATTTCCGGCACGCATACAGGAATTTCGATTGGCATTTGCCAACATGAGACATTTATGGCTTCGTCGCGACAACCGGCTTTCTGTAAAGGGTCTGGTATATGCCTCAACAGCTCCCTCATTCCTGTTATACGATTTGTAAAATTGGCCGTTACAAATACGGGATAGAGATTTACTGTCGGTGTTCTAACACTGCTATCCACGCAGCATTTCACAAGTTCGTTGAGGCAACTTTGGCAAACAATACGAATACTCGGTGACCGCGGTCACCCAATGGAGCACGTGTTTCACTTTGAATGATTATGTTGATTAAGATATATATACATATATATAAATATATATGTTTTACGCATACGTCTTGTTTGCCGAGACAGGTAGTGAGTGGATAGAAGTCAAGCGTAGTCAAAAATGGTCAGAGTGTATGAAAACCCAGACCAGAAATCGTGCTCACGTAGATCGTGTTAGACTTTCTGGGTGAGACCTCAGGATTATTGTAGTAATTGATGGTTAGAGAAAGTGAGTGATATGTCTGAGTGTCAAACTATGACACTCATGCGTCTACCCATTCTTTTTACAACCTTAGTTCTATTCTTTATTTTCACCTTCACCCTGCTTTCAACATTCTAATCCTCTTCCTACCCCTTCATCCAAATAGGTAGCTGTGAGATAGTAACTCATACCGTAGCGCAGAATTGCATGGCTAATGGTCGTAAAAATTGCGACTGGTAGTTGTACAAATATTCGAGGAAAATTCAGCCAACTAATACCTTACGAAATTCAATTCCGTCATTTTCAGGTTTTTACCTCAACTGTCCACTCGAGAACCGGGCCGAAAGGGACAAATTCCGAAAAATACAAAATGTCTGAATAGACGGAATAAATTTAAAATCTTGACAAGACGCCCGTCGACTATAGCCCAATTGCTCAGCGTTTTCAATCCTTAAATTGCTAGTAATGATGATTCTCAAGTTTTAAGTTTCCTTCGGCCTACCTCCAATGGAACCACCGTTCAAGGTTTTCATGGTTTTTCCCAACCCATAATCTAATTGCATTTGCAGTATCCTATCGTCGAAAGGAAGTAAAGGTGTCGTTTACTTCCAACGCTTTCCTTACTGTCCAACAGTTAGCTTGACCGATAAAACTGAGATGCTTAATGAAAGAAGTTGAAGCAATTTGGAGTGATTTTCAGATAACTGGCCTTCCCTCGCATCAAAACTAAAATTAAAACGGATATCCGAGTTTAAAACACTTGCCATTATTCAATACATATAATTTCGTGCGTCATCAATCTGTCCTTTAGTTACACTAAAAAAGAATACACGCGCATAGCTATTTTGAAAACACGTTCCAGAAGTCACAGTAATAGAACTTTTATGAATGTCTCAATGAAGCACAAAGTATTATCCTTTCAACACTTTCACAGTGATGGAAAAAGGACTGATTAGCTGGGGCAGCAGCCAAAGAAGGAGAAACATAAGAGCATTAAGTAGAGACGGGGATAGAGCTTCTGTAGTGCATAAATATCTCTTTTGTTTTAGACAACTTTCCTTTCCTTTGCTCAGTGGCAACAGATTTATTTTAATTAGAATGTTTTCACTTTATTTTCCCATTTTCCGGTGGTCTCAGACTCACATTGCTTGCTTCCGCTCGTAAAATCCTAGGATAAAATATCGGATGCTCAAGTAGCTTTCGCCAAAATGGATGGACGTGAATTGAATTTTCGGCACATTCCACCACTACTTCGTGAAGGACCGTGTAAAAAAATCCCCAGACGTTCGAGTCACAAACGGAATCTAGATCGTCACTTGTTTCTGGTGAGTTTAATACTTTTATACGTGATAGTTTTGTTTCTCCATCTTTTCAAGATTGAAAAAAATAGGTTGAGTGTTAATAAATAGTCTTGTTTTTATCTTACTCTATCCATACAACTCACCTGAGCGTTTTCGCACCTATTTATCCTTTATGTTTATCAATTGTTTTCTTGTTGGGTAAAATGAAAATTGACAATCCTGAGGAAAAACGCATCAATTGGATGCCCGGCGATCAGTTGAGAGATCATTCGTTCAGATGATTTTTCACAGACGCACGACTAAAAAACAACTAACAGATGGCAGAAATTTGAAGCAATTTGGTTTTGTCTTAGGCGTTATGGCATCCAACTAATATTTTATTTGATGTCGTTGAACAATGAACCCCGCTGTCTTGTTCCAATGGGAGCTTTTAAGCTATAAAATCTCACGAAATATACATCGATCTACTAACTGGGAATTGCAAGAGTTATCGGCAAAAATGCCGGTCGCTAACTTCACCAGAATCGGTTAGTGGTGCGGTTGGTTGTCAAGTTAAGATTTGAGACCCATTAAGCACGATTTGTGTGAGATCAACTACTTACTTCCCCGTATGTTCACCATGATCAATTGACTTCCCCAAGGTACATCTTTTGGCTTACCTTGCGACTGATTTGTTCACATTAATACGACTATTTGACCTCAAATAGACAGAACTCTAAGACTAAAACCAGGCGAATCGTTTTGAAAACCAAATTTCTTCGAATGTTTCCTTTTTACATTTGAACATTTTCTGCTAATTCATGTCACTTGGCACTGGGGCCATACGAATAAAGGAAAATAAGTACAAACTTAGTGGTACATTCAAGTCAAATGTAATGACTAACGACTTTGTTTTCAATGATTACTAACAAGACATCAGAAATGCGCTTGTTTGCAAGTGTGGATTTCATTTAAAATGTATTCCATCATCTGTTGTGAACAGCTAAAGCCGACTGAAGATCCATTTCGTTCCCAATATGCCATCTCCAATTAGCCATATGTTTAAGTCGATGATGATGATGCCAATCAATTTGTTTTTCGACTTATCCGAAGCCAAGTAATTGTAGATTAAATAAACGTAAACCACTTACCGACCGACTACATATAAACAATCGTATTGTTTTTTATTTTAATTTTTTCTGAAATCATCAAGCTGACTGACAGTTGTGTAGCACACTTCGAATCTCTTGGGTTTCGTTCGTGTTGGTTGAAAACCTTCACTTTTACCTTGCCACTGAGCACGTGAGGTGAAAGAAAGCGCCAGCATTTTTGCTCTTTTGCGTAGATTTTTTTCGATCATGAATCTGATTGGCTGGGGTTTGTGGAGTGTGATTCTGTTTTTGTTTATCCATCCATCCATATATACATACACACATAAGTGCATGTGAGATACGTGTGCGTCACACTTCACCCGATGTGGTTTCAGATATCTGCTGGTGCGGTTTATCTCATAGATTCATCTTTTACTTCTTTGTCTACTCGAACCAACTCATCGGGTTGATCGATCTAGCAACAAGTCTCATTGTACGTGCTGGTTTTCATCAACTGAGTCCTGATAAGGGTTTATCTTGACGCAGGGCTTGGCCTTTGCGATTGAATCCCTCTGTCTAGCTGGCGCAATAATGAAAGAAAATAAGAATGCTGTATTATTCCAAGCTAGAGTTCAACGGTATACAAACCCTCTGTAGTTTATTATTTTTTCTGACTTTTAAGGAACCCTTACCATTTCGCAAGAATTTGCCAGAGCAACAGTTAATTGTGATTGCAATTGTTACAATGAATTCTATAGATGTAAAGCCTACATTTCAGTTAAAAGTGTACCAATTGGAGGTAGCGATAAAGAAAGTTAAATCCTGAAACTTCACAAAGCCTGTGGGAACCTATTCTTTTTTAGCTAGAGTATGTGCTATACAGGGAACCGTACAGTTACGATTTATGTTTACTCGAGAGGGAACACAACGGTATTGGGATCTCGTTGACGAATGGGAACCACATTAAGTTGAATCAGTATGCAGCAGCTGTGTGAGGTCGATAAGAATCTTATGTGCAAACTTTTCACGTGCATCCAAATAACGTTCTTGCAGGTTGGTTACCAATTCCTACAACGGGATTGACGAGACGCGGCAAATGCTGGTCAACCCGCAATGAAGTAGTCTACAATCTTTCATTAGGAGATTGTAAAAAACACAACTGAAAAAGAAAGTAAAACGGGGAAAACACAATTGTACAGGAAGTTGGAGATACTTGATTATTGAATATGGAACTGGCGAAGTTCACGGATATGAAAAGAACGTCGTCCGAGCTCATTGACGATACGTTAAATGTGATAGGTCCGAAAACCGAAGAAAGGAACAGGGAATAGAATATGAAGCAAATGAGTAGTCTAGAAACACAAAAAACACATTGCGCAGAGTCATTTTACGATTGTTTTAACTTATGTGCAAGCGAGGAAACCGCATCTAGCGTTCTCCTGTTTGGTTTGTAGGCAACCTGAATAGGATCATACGGGACATCAAGTGAGGACCCTCGTACGCGTAAGGACCACATGCTCTGCTAGGGAAAGACCAACATAATGTAAAGTTATAGGTGGAAAGGGTTTGATTAGAACCGTTGAAGTAGGGAATTCGAGAATGGGAACAATGATTATCGATGTCAAACAGTCTGGTACGAAGTAGGCTTTAAAGGAAGCGTTTAAAAATATTGGTAATATTTCCCTGAGAGAATAGGCCCCATATCTCAGAAGGGCAGATGAAAGATAATCGAGACCAACCTTATCTGTGGTTTTCACGGTTTGCAGAAGCCCAAAAGTTTCTTTTTTCGAAGCGGTCTCTACTTGAACAGCATCATCCAGAACAAATAGCTTGATGGCTTCGCTTGCTAGGTGGAAAATCACTGCTTTAACACAATCCAAATCCGGAAATTTGGTCCCATTCAGTTATTTGATACCTTGTTAAATTCACTTACTATTGTTACATTGGAGCAACTCGGAGGCATTTGACTTCGACGTTATTCAGGTTGTTATAATACTTGACAGCCTCTGAGTTTAGATTTGTTGTTGTGAGATACTACTCACTTGTGAGTAGTAGGTAACTTTCCATGATCAAAAATATAAAAAGACCACCGTGGGCCAACTGATGTGTCTGAAAGAATAACTACCGACCGCTCGATAAATTAACCTATGTGTCGGAAAGCATTGTGATGGCACGTTTCTGATTAGGTTTTTGTTTTACTCATGCAAAATTACTGACCTCCCATCTGTAATCCCCAATAAACGAATATCCTCGACCAGCATTGCCTTTTGAAATTATAGCACTTTTTTCTTCTGACTGATTTCAACAATGGAGATGCTATTCTGCCATTACAGAGAAATAGAGTTTCAAAGTGCAGTATAGGTTAGGTATATGGTTTAGTGTTTTAATGAATAAGTTGACTGCGTTATGCAAAGAAAGACAGGAAGAAAAGCGCGAAAAAATGAAACCAATTAAATGCTAAAACAGAAGTGTTTCTTGAGTAGAGATTGCGAAGTTTAGTTCTTGTTAGTGTATTTTGAATGGGTCGGGAGTACAGTGTGAGAATCAAGGTGTGATCACTAATGGAAAACGAGTGCTGTGAGTAATGGAGCATAATTTTCCGGGTGATTTGCAATTACCTGGTCTAAAAATGAATCACATCTTGTGGGGGGGGGGCTAGGCAAATATCAGTTGATCCAAAAGAAATTATGAGATAGGTGGATGCGTAAATAAAGTCACCAAAACCATTGTGGAGACCTTCGACTGTCGAGGGAACAAAAGACGGTATCAATTGATCAAAGCAATATCAAATGTTAGCCTTGGTCCAAAAGGAGGCTATGTATAGATTGGTAATGGTTGTCCTTCTACTTGGCAAGATTTAGGGGGACTCTGAATAGCTAAACACTCGATGTGTGATTGGCGTAACAATCAGAAAGAATTTCGGACTTGTCACTCCTGTTTTCTTCTTACAGTGCTTTCTGTCCGTACGGAAGTGTTTGAAACCATTGATTCCAGCTAATGAGTCCTCAACATTTTCGGCAGGCCAGAATTCTTGGTCACGAACGACACATGTGGTGGATGCGTGAATCAAGGGTGCACGTTAGACCCGTCATCTTTGCGGAGAGTGAGCTGATATTCATGCTGACCAATACGGACAGTCATTTTCGATGGAAGTGAGCAATCAAGCGCTGCTTATCAGCCGGTGCGCTTGCGTGTTTCATTTGAGTAGGAATTCGGAAATGAGCCAACGAGGACGTAGAAGTGGCAATACTGAGTAAATCAATCACGAACAGAGTGCACCTTGACATGATGTGACCGCTTGGCTACCTCTATAACCAAAAAACTTCACAGGAAGGCTTTTATTAGACCAGGAGATCTTCTCATTCCTGGAAGATCAGAAGGTAGAAGTCAGATAAAGTTCAGTCGCCTGGTTTTCCAGGTTGGGGGTTCGACTTGAGTTATCATTCCAGTCGGTACAATGGTCGAGGGGTAGTTGATCAAAGTAAATGGGCCTCTGCTTCACTTTACGCGCTGCCTCACGGTTGGGTTGTTGTTAGAATTAAAGGCTTTGAACGAGAACCATACTAGGTTTTCTGCTTAGTGGCTGGGCAACCTATCATTACCCACCCATCAAACTCTAATACATTCAAATACTATAATTAACTCTATACTGCACCGGTCGTCTCTCAGGATAATCAGAACTGCGCTGGCCATGACATCGAGCGTGTTGGGAAGTGATAAGTGGGCTACTTCTCAGGCATCCCAAGCTTTAAGTCTTTGTCTTCTGTACCAANTAAGTTCTTTTCGTAGTAACGCTGTAAGTAGCTTATCACGAAATAGATTGCAGATTCTGAAGCCTCGTCAATCACTGAATCTGAAGGCCTTTAACGTAATGACTCTAATGCAAGACGGTCAACAATCTTGTCTGACATGTACAATGGACTCTTTGGGAACTGATGTTTGCTGCGTATCGAAAAATTGGATCCAGTATCCCAGCATTACAAGCCAATTAAGTGTATTGAATTTGTGTTTGAGGTACTTCGTCCGCACATCAGGTGACGACGAAGCCCGTTCAGAAGGCCAGCTTGGCGTAGGCATTGTACTCAGTAATACCATCGAAGCGTCACTAATCGATTTTCTCCCTGTCATAAGTCGCTTATATGCGATGCAACTCCAAGGGTCCGAGAGAGGGACGCAACACCGAAAGGAGCTTGTTCATCATTTCAGCGTGTGTACCAACCAAATGAAGTTCTGACGCACAAAACACGAGTTCTACGACGAACTCACCGAACTCGATTGAACCGAAGTTCCGATGTAGTTGTTCTCACAGGTGATTTTAACGCGCAAGTTGGAAAACTGGGCTCATCGGAAGTTTGTCAAGGCGGTCGCTGTACCCTACCCTGTCAACGAAATGATAACGTCGATCGCCTTATTCACTTCTGCGCAGATTACGATTTGTTCTTATCCATTAAAAAATTGCGATGCAGTTCTAAACGGACAGGAACGTGGCGCACCCAATTGAACTGTTGTGTTAACTCAAATAGACCACACAACAGTCAGTCAGAGTTGTCGTGGATCAGCACAGAATTGTAGGTCCTATTGGACCACCTGCTTCCAATCTTATTCTGCGTTAGTTTTGATTCACTTCACTCTCCGATTTACTGGCCACAGAAACACCCAGCAAACTTGGTCTGCAGATCATCGATTACCTGACCCAGCCGTTTGGGCCCGCTTTGAATCGAAATTAGAACAAGAGCTAAACGCACTGAAGCGTGGTGGAGTGGATGAATAATGGAATCATATTAAAAGAGCAATGCAATTCTCAGCGATTGTTGCTTGTGGACCTGAGGCGTTTTTCCGTCCGACTAATTTGATATCTGATTAGTCAGTATCTCTGATGGAAAAAGAACGACCAATCCTGACCTTCCAGAATCAAAACAGGGCCTTATGCCGTCTGCAACGTTAGCTTAAGAAGAGACTCAAGAAAGATCGTGAGAACTGGTGAGCAACAGTAGCTAGTGAAATGGGAGTAGAAGCTGCATCAGGGAATACTCAAAGACTGTTCCAACTGATACGCAACACGGGAGGTCGGCGAACTTCAGTTAGTGAAACAATCTACGGCACAATTGGACAAATCATTCACAATGGGGATCGGTGGACGGAGTACTTCGACAAACAGTTCAGCTGGACAGACACTAATCAGACTATCTCGTCTTCTTTAGCTGAGGCTCAGTGGGCCTTGTCATGTGAACCTCCTACTTAAGCAGAGGTCAGTGTTTTCATCCAGGCCATGAAAAAGGAGCAGCAGCAGAGCTTGACGGTCTTCTTCCCACTTCTTTCAAGATGGTGCTTCCATTGCTGGTTTGATGCGTAATATCTAGTCACATTCCGTCATCCTGGAGCGAACCAATGATCATTCCAATTTTTAAGAAGGGATCTCGCGACGGCTGCGCAAACCATCGTGGACTAATTTTGATCATATTCATCACCAAGTTACTAGTCTCCATCATACTTCGGCGTCTGACAGCGTTTAGGGAGACAACTATTCTTGAACAACAAGCAGAATTTCGACCAAAGGTTCACGCTNACCTAAAAGGAGCCTTTGACTCAGTTGACCGCGAATCCTTTATGGGTTCACTCCTTCGCAAAGGAATCCTGCATAAGTATGTGAACAAACTGAGGTCACTGTACTTGCATTATTCTGATTGTGTAAGGGTCTACAGCGAGTTGATTAGGTCGGTCGTTAATGGTATTCGTCAAAGGTGTTATATTTAGTCCTTCCTGTTCCAATTCGTCATAGACTGAATGGTGGAGAACGCACTAAGTGGTCTCCAAAATGTTGGCAGTTATTGGGCAGCTGGCGAAAAGCTGTACAACCCAGAGTAGACTAACGACCTCGTTTACCTGTTCGAACGCATGGAGGATGCACAAAGCGCAACTGACAGACTAGCAAGTTCTGTTGCTCCGTTTGGCATGTGCTTTACAACCTCAAAGTGCAAAGCGATGCTATAAGACTGGGTTTCGCCGAGTTCCGTTCTGAAACTAGACGATCAGGAATTAGCTGAAGTTGAATGCCTCCTGTATTTGGGTAGCGCGTCAAAGGGGATAACCGTCTGTATTTTCCATAGCTGGAGCTGCGTACGCAGTACAAAATCATCTGTGAAGACAACGTAAAGTTTCAGTGAAGTTGAAAAGTTGCGCCCTCTGCGTCACTGTAGGATAAGTTCTGCTTTATGGTTGTGAAACCTTAAATTTGAAATTAGAAGATATCCATCACCTAGTGGTTTTCGACGTAGTCCGACCCAACTGGGATGAAGTGAGCGAGTTATTAACCTAGAATAAATTCGTTGGGTGTTTGGGGTGCATTGAAAAGGAACTCTGTCGCATGGAATCCAGCTTGGTAGGCTCCGTTGATTAGAATACATCCTGCGTACGTTGAACGATCGCCTATCGCACCGAGCTTAATTTGCAATGACTGCTGCAGACTGGAGAATGTCACGTGGAGGCCAGCAGATGACGTGGAGAAGAGACATGAAGAAGTGCACAGAGCGATTGGGCGGAGAAAATGTCTCTCGTTTCTGGGTTGTGGTCTGAAAAGCTCTGTAACGGGATAGTTGGAGACAATGAAGATGGTGGCAGCAAACCGACAGCAGTGGTGATCTTGCTGTCATTTCTTATCAGACCAGAATACTTGAAGTAGTGTGTATGCAAGTTTAACTGTGTACTGTGTGTTGACCATACATGTTCGCTTTCTTTTCCCATCCGTACAATTAGGCCGAATACCTATCCTCCTTACAAATTCTCACTCACCTTGTATACATTATGAGTTTGGAAGCGATCAGTGAAGTTCGTTTCACTGTTTTGCGCTGTACGATGATGCATGAAACGTGCTAACTGTGACCACGAATGGACCTTCCAGCGATTGTTATGTGGTATTCATCACAAACAAAAAGTTTGAGAGGTAGGAAGTGTAGCATGATCGATCGAAGGGTACGCCACGGAGGTGAATTCCCCAATTGTGAACAATTTAGAGCTACCTCATTTTTATTTTTTGAGCAATTATCAGTTGAATGCTCACTTAAGCATGCAATAAAGCAATTCCTAGAATTTATAAACTTTCCACACAGTTTTATACACCGGTAATCGGAAAAAAACATAAAACATAAGCTCGTATAATAAGTATCATATGAATAAAGTATGCAATTAGTTTTAGGGAGGTTGCTCAAAGAGACGGCTCCAAACGCAATCCATAACGCACGTCCTTTTAAGATATGCCCCTAACACTTTTTGGTGTGGTCTGTTTGATGAGAATCACATATCTGACAGATGTTGTTTATCTTTGGGCTCATCTCTCTGACAGCCGATAAGACAAAGCAACAAGTTGATGGTAATCAATAGAGCGTCTTCGGTTTTGGTTACTACTTTTTTGCAAAGATTGGGCTATAATTACATACATATAACCACTGACTTTGTTTATTGTCCGACGAGAATTTTAATGGGTCACCGGAATCATCAAGAACACAGGGCTGTTCACAGAGATAACAGCGCTCATCCGTGCTGATCCAGGCTGTTTACATTCTCGGCTGTTTTCAACAAACCATGCACTTCAGATTATTGCGGTCTGTTGAACTATCCTGTGTACTTTACCCAGGAGCTCAGATCTTTTCAACCTAGGCAGAAGTACATTTGATCGAAAAACCAGATGATCAGAACCGTTTGGTAAAATCACAACGTACAACTAAATGATGAAAATCATCTGGGTAATTGAAAATTCTTCAGATATGTTCTGCCCATTAGGTTATTAAAAATCTCACTCAGTTCTCCAATGATTGGTCCGACAAACCTCTGTATTATTTTGCTACCACCATAAGGCCTTGGCACCACTTTCACTTTGTCCAGCTATCTTTTTTGTAGTTGTTAACCGAAGTTGTTTGTTACATTTATGCTCTCTCATAGGTCCGCTCTATAATAAATCTCAAGTTAAATTTGAAATATAAATAACACATATCAGTCACGATAGATCAACGTGTGGTGGCTCTTCGAATAAAGATATAACATCACGACCCACCGAATGAGTTGAGGAACCTTGTCTTCACCCAGTGCTGTGTCAGATTTTCAGATACACATGCTCTGCAGCGTATTGTACGCGGTTTTGCATTTTACTTTATTTGGTCAGCTGCCACAGTGTTGAGTAATTTAACTGTGTAAATAATCCGAATTGTACTCATTCGCTCTCATTACGTATTCTACTATTGCAGTTCAGCGGTTACTTGGTGATTACAGAGGGTGCCAACGCGATGGGCCGATACCAGGTCAAATCGGAGCTCTTATTGGCCGGAATGAGCGTGAGTGGTAACCCTGCATATCTGGCCATTTGATCCCACGTACAGAGACTGTGTGATTTATGGTTGGCACACTGTTATCTGAGAAAAACAACAATCTGCTGCGTGCCAAATTCTAAACTTATAACCATGCTCTAAAATAACGTTAATTGTGGGAGCTTTTAGATTCCGGGTCTTCGTGTGCAACGAATGACAATGACCCTACTTTGTTTGTGTGATGGGTGAACATGTTCGTGGATTCACAAACTAGATGATTGGGTCTGACTTGTAGCCTCCGGTCAACAAGTGTCGATTTTGAAATATATTTGAATTGCATGCAGTGATTTACACAAAACAGCTTGTCTCGTGAGGATTAGTAGGTGGCACGTGAAAAACCAACTACTGAGCAGTGAACAACTGGTTCATGTTTTGAGGTGGTTTGATGTGACTAATAGGATGTTGTAGGTAGTGGTGTTTCTGTGTTTATTGTGATTCAATGACCACCCCTGGTAACGCACATACACATACAGAAATGCCTGCTTATGCAATGGCTTGCATTTATATAGGTTACAGTCCAGGAAGAGAAATGCACTGCAAAAGCGAGAGTGAGATAACAAATATATGTGCAAACTGCTGTGCGTCGATTTAAATGTTCTATAAGTCTTTTGTTCAGTGTGCCGTTTTGATTGTGTGAAAACATTGTGTATCCAGCCGTTCTGCACTTTACACTGTTCGGCGGTCGAACGCACACATAATTACTACACCTCAGGATGATAAGTTGAAAAAATAGCACTTCTGTTCTCAGCCCCATTATTGTAGAGGTAGCAGTTGACAGGTTTTATGAATACAGACTGTAGTTCAATTGGTTATAGGTTCTTGTGGCTGCGAAAAATAATTTATGGAAGCCAACTTGTGGCAGGCAGTTTGTGTACACGTTCCATACGAACAAGAATGCATTTGCAGATAACAGGTTTAGTTAGAANGAACCCAATAGCAGCTATGTCGTAACTGTTGACTCGTTTCCCTGTCATTAGCTACTTTCCATCAACCAATTAGCATTATTTTCTACGGCCGGCTGAGAGACTGCGAGGCATAGGTGAATGCTCCTTGGCGACTCTACAGGTCGCGTAAAGTGGAAAAGACAATTTTAGTGTCTAGGTGCTAATAAGGTTGGTTCAAGTTCACTAAATAAGCGGCCGCGGAAAAGAAGCAGCAGTGCTCGAGAACGTGGTGGGTTTCGCGGAGTCCGCATTCTCCCCACAAAATGATACAAGAGCCCAAAGTAGGTAATGCGGACGGACATCAAATCTCTTTACTAATTAGAACCAACGCTTCTTGTCAATTAAAATTCCTGTATTCTGGTAGGGAAGTCCAAACTGAGAGCATTAGCCACCGGCTATTCTGGAGCGTCTTGAAGTGTTGTACTCCTTGACTGTATTGCATGAATTGAAACACCAGTCAGCGAATCCCAAAGGGTCTTGAGCCTTATCTCAAACTGCCATCTTGAATATGCCTACTTCGGTCTGGATAGCCGGATATTATCTCTTCCGGGGTGCCATTCTCGTTAAAACACCAAATGGCTCTGGATGCTCCCGATCGTTGTCTTGCACGCATACTTTTTTCACTGACGTGTTGTTGACTCTTCCAAACTCGTTTCACTTGAACTTTGTCAACAAACATCCCATCCCGCCGTTCACAGTGCGCCGAAAATGGGTAGCCGAAGTTTGTCAACGCAATTAGTCACAGAAGGTTCGGGTGTGCGAGGCTCGACGGGATGCGGAAAAGAGGTCAAGACAGGAATGGCAAGCACGTACTGCCAGAAGCATTTTCACTTGGCATGCACCAAACTATCGAATAAGAATATGAAACAGATTCTCCCTCAACAGGATTGTGTTTGGGTTTACAGTGATTATATGGAAACTTCGGTTATAAAATACACAATCGGCATTGAAAGTAGCTTTGAGAAGCTACCATTAGCTGCCGAGGAAAAAGCTGATGTAAACATTTCAGCATTTAGAATAAAAGATAACTACTCTTATCTCCCAGATCCAGTGATCCCGATCCAGCGACCGACTAAGCGTCCAAGGTGTTCTTCAATCAGCGCCGCTGCAACGCAGTGCATGTGCCTCGCTAACGTAAACATGGCTGCCATAGTAACGAATAATACGGTAAAACCTCCTGAGCAGAAAGAAGCCAGTTATATTCACACAAAGGCCTTCGGTAGTGTGGAGAAAGTAGGAGCAATACCGCCATGAACCTTATCTGTACAAATATTCCTAAACCGAAAAAAATCCACCGAGAGGACGACAAGAAGAGCTGAAACACTGGAAGGGTTCGTGCATGCAGATGGAACCCAGACTACTCCGGGTGGCCCTAAAAGATGAAAATAACTTGGAGAGCGTTCTTCTTTCTGGTCACTTCTTCATAAATAGTTCTTGCAGAACAAGAATCTTGCCCGACACACCATGGACGGAACGAATGCAGCATCAGTACTATCCAATGGGAGCAAGCGTTGTAGAAAATCAGAGGGTCATCTTCATCCATGGTTTCCCGCAGTTGGAGGATCCGGATGAATCTAAAAGTTATCAGAACGACCCAAGAGAATGGTGATTCATTCAAAATCGACTTCGTTGTTGCGGTCTTCTGGCAACTTCAATCAGTCATCTTCCCTGTCCACCACATTAACATGGCAACGGTCGAAGATACTGAAAGTTACCCTTGGCACTCCAGACATGGCCAACACCGTCTTGCAGTTATGGTGGAAAAGAAAGAACATAGGGCCACCGGAACTATGTGTGAAATCCTTAATCAATCCCGGGCTACAAACACACTCAAATCCGGCGAACCCTACTAATACATCAGATCACTTTATGCAGGTACCAAATTCCGTCCCTGTCAACCGGTATCCGAAAGTACCGGAGCTTCTGTGGCAAAAAACGAATGAAAGCCGACCGCGGAGAGATCGGTCAAGGTACCACTGCTAATCCAAGCGGATTATTACACCAATAACTTAATTCTGAAGGATAGTCAGTTCTAATCAATCGATATCTAAACTGTTCCCACACCAATCCTCAACGACTCCTCATCAATTTCCAGAGCTGAATTTGCGTTTCATATCTGGTCTGCTATTACAGAACCTTGAATTGCAGCTGATATTCTGAACTCCGATCTGTCTTTATCGGAGATATCTTGCTCAGATGCGATCGTCCTATCCGCGGTGGTGGTAGTTGTGTTCAAGTCTACTATCGAAATAATCTTGATTAGGAGTGATTCCACCCCCCTTTCCCCCTCCTTTTCGACAACATACACACTGTGTCGTAAGTTGAGGATTGTTCAATCACGATGTCTGTTTGATTGATGTCATCTATCGCCCTCCGTCATCCACGGAATCCACCAATATGACCTTTTTGAAAGCGTATTTTACACATTATCGCAAAACAATTTACATAGGTTCTGCTAATGAGTGATTTCAACTGTCCCAACCTCGGAAATGCTGAAGAACCGGTATGCCCAATTTTTTGCTGCGTACACTGTAGCTCCCTCGCTGGATGCATCATATTCCACATCATTTACTAACCACTGTATCATTCATTCCCAAAGAGGTTAAGGCAAACTATTGGCTTTGAAAAAGAATTCATTGCCAGGTGCTGACAATATTCAACCGCAAACGCTTATCTGCTTGACAAATCGAATATGCGAGAAACTCTCCTTTCTATTCCAGCAGACGTTTTATCACACTGCAATCCAAAGGGCTCTGGTGGCCGAGTCTTTAAGCCACCAACTTGTGACCTTTGAGTCCCGGGTTCGAACCGGTCCACCGCTGCCCGTCTTCCCAAGCAGCCTTTGTATGGCCACGGGCCCCCTTCCTGAATGTTGAATGTATATTTGTACTTTCAATAAATAAAAAAGGAAGCAAAACGACATAACATTACATTACTGTCGAGGCGTTTTCTGTAGCGATCCCGCTAACTACTGCCCTGTAACCTTGCTTCCAGTGTTGTCCAAAGTCATGGAGTCCATAGTAGTAGATTCTCTGATTGCACACCCAAAAAAGCACAACGTTCTGTAACCGAAATAATATGGATTCCGACAGAAGCGATCGTGCGATACCAATTTTCTCACCGCACGAGATGAATGGACAAAAGCAGTTAATGACGGCGACGCGGTCGACGTTATTTATCTGGACTTCTCAAATGAATTCCATCGGGTAAATAACGATATTCTACTGAGGAAAATCCATAATTAGGGCATTCTGGGCCTCATGCTTCATTGGATTGAAGTATTCCTGCGACATCGAACCGCATCAGTTTGTTTCTAATTCGCTTTCCAGTCCTATGGACGTTGCCCGTGGGGTTCCACAATGATGTGGGCTTGGTCCGCGACTTTTCCTGACATTCATAAACAACCTATCGAAGGCTATGGAGCCAAAATCATTAATGTTTGCAGACGATGCCAAAATTTGGAATCCAGTGACGCAACCAGCTGGCTTACTGGCGCTCAAGCAAAGGCTGAAAGCGGCTTATCTCTGGTCTCTTTTGAAAGACAGGGAATTCAGTATGCGAAAGTGTAAGGTTCTATCTCTACGACACGAGGGGCACCTTTCGTATTTCCTCGGAAATGAACAACTGCCATCATGATCATCATTCAAGAACACTTACGATGCTCACCTAGGTCGAACGCAGCTGTAAAAAATGTCGGTTTGCCTAGGCGTGTCTTTAGTCGGTTTGAGTCAGCAATTTTCCTCGGTCTGCTATCAGCATGAATTCGCTCACTCACAGGTTACGCTATCTAGCCATGGGTTCCATGGCTACAAAGGGACTGCACTAGCTGAAGCGTTCACAATTGATAACCACCAAAATGGTTAGGGGGTTGAATCGTTATTCATAGGCAGAGAGACCGAAATCGCTGCAGACATGACCATGGTATATCAAATAATGTAAAACTCAAGGCATCCGTGTCGCCCGCCGCTAAACGTATTACCCAACTTTCATCTTATAGGAAATCTGTTCAAAATAGTGGTCTCAAAATGCCGCTTGGAATGCCGGCGTCAGTCATTC